ACCACGATGGGAGGGAGATGGCCCCGACATTGAAGCCTTTTCAATGTGCAAGACCGGTTCGGGATAAACATGAAATAGAATATAAACAGCAGCTCCTGCAGGCTATGAGCATGTCTCGCAATCATCTTTGAAAGAAATAACCTCTTCCCAAGAACGCGCCCGGCGCTACAAGCCCACAACCTGTTACACTACCAACACCATTAAGGATTCCGTTGTGAACCCCGCCACTTCCCCATATATAGCAGCCCTGTATACATATAGATATATACAATACCCAGGGCTGCTAGCCCAACCTCCGCCACAAACTCATTGGTTTAATGACAATCCACATCACCTCAAAACAAATCCCGCTGCTCCGGAGTCAGTCTTTGCGCACATCTGGAATGATAGACACATTAGTAGCACACAAGTCTTGAGAAACCACACCCTATCGAACAAAGATGAAGACATTATAAAATAGAGACAACAGACATTGATGTTCGTCCATTCGGGAATTCCCGAGCATTGACAGACACTCGGACAATGCGGAGAAAGTCGGGGGGTGACCCTTGCTTTGGCCCCCAGGGCACAGATGCTTTAGCTTCCAAACCAGCATGCTGAGCTCCCAGTGAAGAAGGTAGGCCGATGGCTGCAAGCACAAACAGGCAAGCAAGGGTCTTAGCTTACCTGCTGCACGGAGTGGGATTCATACTTCTTAAGCAGAAAGTAAATGGATTCACCCTCCGTCAAGGCTGTACAGGCCACACGGGGCGCGTGCGGACCAGGGGTCACTGTCACTGTTCACTGAGCATGGCAAGACTGGTTCGAAGAAAAAAGTACAGAGATAAAGATAGCGTCAGTCAGTCTACAAGGAACCCCGGGGGTGCATTTCAAGCATCTTTGATTAGACAATAAGGTATATAGTAGCGACCGTGGTGACACCGTGGGTGTCTAGTATGCTCCAAACAAGTTTAACCGTGGCAAACAAAGCAGCCTGCATTTCCCAGCCCATGCTCCGCCCAATTGCAACGGGTATCAGACCTGCACTCGCCAACGCGAGTGCGCCTCCTTATAGCAATTTATCCCAGCAGAAAACAAACCTAACTCAGATCAACAGCCCATGCTAATTCCCGATAACAAATCATCGCGCGAGACTCTGCGGCACAGCAAGGAAAAGGGTCAAGTAACCCGAATGGAAACAAACATAAGAAAAAAAGGGGGGGGAGAAGAAGAGAAATATTCTAGATCGTAGAAGAAAAAAGACATGAGAAAGGGCCTGCTGCGAATATATTCCGATTTGCAATCATATCACGGAAAACGCAGGAAAAGAAGTGAATCATCAAGAACCAAACCCCAGCTGGTATCTGAGCAGAAAAAGCCATGCCGAACAGAAAAGGAAATCAAACAACATCGGACCAACTCCCTAGTCTAGCGAGAGATATAAGAAGGAAATGGGTAATCAAAACCAAAAAGGAGAAAAACAAATCACCAACCAGCAAAACAACCGGTACCTCTATGGTCATAACTTGGGTAATAAAGACATCACTAGCAACCCTCCGAGCCGTTGTACCGTGTCTTGCCTGTCCAGGGGAATCTGAGAAAAACAAAGGAAACAAAAGAAATGGGGTATCGTTTCTCTGCCACACTGGCCGAGACGGAAAGAGAAGAAAAGTAGAAGAGGAATCGAAGCTGTTGTACAAGAATACGGAACCCGATTCAGGAGTGAGATGTCGCACAATGTGTTGCGATGCGTCTCAGGATCGTAGTCCGCTGTTCCTCCGCCCCGTTAAGGTGGCGTTAAGGGGGAGGCGTTCGAGACTGAAAGGAAGAGTGACTTGATTTACTCTTCGTCTTCGCCCGAAGCACCTTCCTTTTCTCCTTTGTGGACCTTCTTGTGCCGCCGCAGGTTGGAGACGACGGAGAAATGACGGCCACAGCCTTCCACGTCACATGCGAATGCTAGATTCCTGAATATCAGTACCACAGACCACTAGTAAAAGGCTCGTTCTGGAACTTACGTTTTTCACCAGTGTGACTGTACATATGAGTCTGAAGAGACGATGGGCGGGTAAACCGCTTGTCGCACACCTTGCACTTGTGCTTCTTTTGGGTGTTGGACGGCATCTTGGAGCTGAATTGGCTCATCATCGACTGGGGTCCCGGAGGCGCACTTCCCGTCAACAGGGTTGACGGGCGAGGCAGCGTCCGCGACAGATGGCCATTCTCGTAAGATTCCGAAGTAGTAGAGCTGTAATCAGTCACAGAGGACTCCACGGACGCGACAGAGGCGGAATAGTAGGGGTAGTTTCCGCCGGAAGAGATCGACGATCCCGAAGAGTGTGTCGAGGGGAAACCGTAAGAGTCACCCGAGCCTCGCGAGCTGCGAGGGCCGTAGATATTGCGGGGTGTCATATCCTGGCTGAGCGCGACCATTCCACGGCTGGCATCAAGAGCATCTCCGAATGTTGGAGCGGAAGGGGGTTGCGATTGACCGACGCGAGCATCACTAATCAATATGAAAATGGAATGTAAGCATATTTCCACACCGCTGGAAGCTCCAGAAGAAGAGTAAACTTACGCATGAGATATCCGACGGTCCTGGTGTTGGTGCATAGACGGAGCGTAGCTGAGCGGGGCGTAGCTCGCGGGTGCGAAGCTGGTCATGGGCGAGGCGGTAGTGTAGGCCGGGGCTTGATCGAAAGAAGTGCGCGGCATGTCGTGCGACAAACCCATCATCTCCGGTCCGGGGTAACTCGAAGCAGTAGCAGTAGGGTAGTTGCTCCCGGCGACCATCGAGGGAGCGGAAACGGGAATACTCGAGTATGGCATAGACATCGGTGGGCGGCTCACTTCCTCCTGCTTAACATGGCTGAGGCCAATCTGGCTGGGTCCCATGGAAGTCGCGTAGACCGGAGGAGTGGAATGGGACGAAGTTTGAGCGGTCCATGGGTCGGTGAACTGCGGAGCGCTGTGGTGCATGTTGTGTTGATACACGTTATCGAAGCCCATCCCGCCGTATTGGCGGTTCTGGTTCTCAATGACCATCGTCATGGAGGATAGTTGGTTTATCGCGTGGATTTGAATTTAGAGAAGAAAAAAAGTGAGACAAGATGTTGGGAAGCACGAGATTCACGGCGCAAGATATCCCTGGGAAAATGCAGGAACCAAAACACAGGATTTCCCCGCGAAAAGGTTGACGACACAAGAAGGGGATTGCGCGGGTGAACTGGAATGGTAGAAGGTGGGGAGGAGCAGAAGAATGGAAGGGGGTGGGAGAGAAGATAGATCGCGAGGATGATCAACAAGGAGGAAGTGGGAGGAGAGGATGAATTGATCCGCGCAAAATGTATAGAGAATGCAAGTGTAGGACAAGCTTCGAGGATGATGGGAGAGGCGCAAAGTAAAAGTAGTTTCCCTGAGGGTAGTAGACCAGGAAATAAGTATGAGAGAGAGGAGAAAGAGTAGAAGAGAGCCAGGTCAGCTCGAGGTAGAAAAACAATTCAGAAATCCCTTTGAAGGTGAGAACCCGACAGACAGGAAGAAGGAAAGACAAGACAGTCTGGGGAAGGGCCCCGAAGGGGATCGGCGAAGCTTATGAACAAATACAGGATCTCAGCATGAGGATGGACCGCAGGGACGAAGGGAAGCCCTGGCGTTGCCGTGTTGGTGATGGCCTAGTGCCACTGACGACGTCCCGTCGGGGACGGTTGCAGATCGTTACTTTGGGCCGCTTAGGCTTCGAAACGGCGCCAGTGTTAAAAAAACGAGAGGAATTGCTTAGTGGCAGTGGAAATCTCCAAATGGGAACCAGTTCCTCGGGTGACTCTCAAGGTTTTGGATGGGTCTTCTACTTTCCCTGGTTTAGATCGATTTTTATTTCTTTTTAATTTTATTATTTTTTTTTTACTATTATAGATATAATTTATTTATTTTAATACCTTTCTTTTCTGGGAGAGAGCAGAGCAGAGAGAGGGGAGAGCAGAAAGAGTGTGAGTGTGTGAGAAAGGAAGAGGGGGGTCTTTTTCTGAATTGAGCATTGCCCTTTTTTTTTCGTTTTTTTCTTTTTTTTTCCTTTTCCTTTTCCTTTTTCTTTTCCCTTTCCTGCATTTTCTTTTTTGGCTTTTCCCTCTCTCTCACCTATTTTCCCTTCCCTTCCCTATTCATTTTCCATTTTATTTTCTCCATTTTTTCTATTTTCCATATTATTTTAATTTTTTCTTTTTCCTCATTCTCTCAACTCCCACACCCCATAGCCCCATTTCATTTTCCAGAAAATGAATTTCTAGGTCCCTCCCCATAGCCCCCCCTCCCCTCCCCATTTGCTTCTTTTCTATTTTTGTGTTCACTTTCCTAATATGATCACCATAATCTAAGGGAAACGAAATGCATAGGGCATCTGTCTAGTTAGATAGATGAAATAACAATTGGACTGGGCGATACAAAATCTTGCGTCATCTTCAGATTCAACTGCGAGACAAGAAACTAGACTAACTAGCTAGCAATCGGACACTACTTACTTACTTACTTACTTGCTTACTTATGTTTTGATTTAATTCGAAAATTGTTAATATGATTCATACTACAGCATTTTAAGTAACTGTAAGAAAATAAAAATGAAAAAAGGCTAAAACGCCCAGGGTGTGCGGAAAAGGGGACACCTGAAACTCCGCTGTTGAGTTGAGCTGAGGCAAGCAGGCAAGCAGGCAGGCAGGCAAAGTAGGCATGTATGTATGTACACAGTATGTATGTAACTATGTATGTATATTAATTACGAAGGACACAAGGACTACTACTATTACTACTACTGCTTTTTACTTTGCTGGTGCAGACGGCAAATGACTATGTATTTTGTAATAATAAAGTATTATGTTATGTTAAGTAGTTTTTCTATTTAAGCAGCAACAAATATCTAATTACTACTAACTAACTACTAAGAGGCGGACACGGGACGGCCACAAAAAAGAAACGAGCGTTGAGCCCAAAGTCAAAAGACCAAAAGGGCAAAAGCGAAAAGGAGAGAAGATAGATAGTACTCCGTAGTTAGTAGAGAGAACGTAAGTACGTAGGGCAAGGGGAAGAGAGAGAGAGAGAGCGCGGAATGAATGGGGGTTAACAAAGTGTGGATTTGTGCGCGAAAGAAGAAAAGGCAAAATACAAGCAATAGGGAAAACATGGAATGGCGTCTGGAGTACGACAACTTCAGTCAGGCACAGGTCCTATTTTTTTTCTCTTCTCTGCTGTACTCTTCTCCTTCATGGTTAGCCACTGTGGAATATGGAGGACCTACTCCATAATTTTCTTTTCTGTTTTATTTGACTCTACGTTTCGTTCCGTGCACTCTCCATTTGTGGCAGTTTTGGCGTGCGGGAATTCATCATATCCATAGGGGGGCGGCGTGGGTGTGGAAGAGGTTACGGAGTACGGTGGGCTCGCAAGCTTCCAGAGGAAGGCAAGTAGGTTGAACCTGGGTGAGAAAAGTAGGCTACGCCCAAAAGGGATTGTGAGTGTAAAGGGGGGGCGGGGGGGAGGAAGAGAGAATGGTGTAGTTTGTGCCGTGTCTATACAAAGTAGCGTGTCGGGAGGGGAGTGACCAGTGACCAAAAGAGAAAGGCGTGGGAAGAGGAGGGTAGACACGAAGATGGTGTGGATCAATGGGAAACGAAAATAATGGGAAAGAAAAGGGAAGAAAAAGAAAATAGGGAAACGGGAAAGATTGCAGGAGGGTAGGCAACGCCAAGAGTTAAGCTTAGATGCAGCGACCAAGGTTCGCCTTGAGCCCTTGAGGGTGTTTCAAGGTAGCGGGGAAGTGGCGGCAGATCACAAAGATACGTCAAAGGGTATACCCGTTCCGTGGGGGAGGAAGTCACTGGACGACTAGAGATAAAAAAGCTCCCAGGAATGGAGTGGGCCAAAAACCCCACCTGCTAGCCATGATTGACTGGCTGTCCCTTTTCCTTTTCTTTTGCCTTTTTGGATCTGGCAGGCCTTTTAGCAGGTACCTGGTTAGTACGCTGATGTGGTAATTCAAATGCGCATTCAACTGCGATACCGGTAATGTTACCACAGGTACACCACCAGAACTGAACTGCTCTGCCGACGAGAGGCGAGAAGGAAGAACAGCAGATGGCACATGGAATGGGGGTAATAGCCAAAAGGCTGCCTCGAACTCATTCTGTCAAAAAGAGAAATTAAAATTTGTTGGTTTTACGTCGATTTCCATCCACCCCCCTTTAAGATTTCTATATCACAGTCGGCAGCCAATGGCGGCAGTCCTGCGACGCCATAATGCAGAAGACATGTTGCGCAAGCAGCCAAGACCCAAGTCCATATACTCATGATTGGTGAATAATTCATCTGAGTCTAGTAAAGATGTGGTTAGGGAGTTAAGTTGGTAGAGTTGATGACTTGGCCGACTGGGAACGCCGTAGCCGGAGGGCCATAGGGCGCGCGGGCTGGCTGCAGGGCCTAGGAATCCCCGTAATACCGCTAAGCAGGAGGGATCTTGGTTGAGGCGGTATAGCAACGCAATGGGGCGGCTCATGCTGAATGCTGGGAAATTCTTGGTACACACAGGAAGTAAGTACCCTTTTGCAGCTGCACACTATAGAGCACTACTCCCATGCCTCTGCGCGGAGTTTCCATCGAATATTCCTCCTGTCGAAGGTATTGTTCGGGTTCGTTGTGTGCATGCATGGTCGGCGGTGCAGCATTCGGCGCAAGGCCCAAATGTATCATGCGATGGGGTGCACCGTGCGTTACAGGGAAAATCCATCCATCAGAGATCTAACAATGAAAGTTTGATTCTCTTTGGTATTATTTTCGTGGCATGAAAGGTCAACTCGTATTGCAACCTTGTCCGACCAGTTCATGGTTCTTAGCCGATTGACTAGTATAGACTGGGATGAAAGGTTGGTTCGGACTATAGGGCGACTGTCGTCACATACTTTTTGGGTGGTCAGATATCTACAGTACATATACTACATAACTAGCAAGCTCAACCCGCACTCTCATGCAAGTAGAGCAAATTAGATCGGACTAATCATCAACATTTGCTGCACAATTTCAGCCATGATGCTGTTGGTGATGATTTCGGGGAAGGGTTGCTGCGGAAAAGGGCAGAGGGTCATGCAGGATGACGACATGGCTTTTTGATTGCAACGCGTTGGACGGAACTTCATTTGCAATTTGCGTGTTCTGCAGGAGTTGGAGCTCTCGCGTGTTAATTAATATGGGGGTCGGAGTCTGCCGTCATGAGGTATTTGCCTCTCTTGGTGCGGAGTCGACCACAATCCTCCTTCTCGTAGCCCGAGGGTGTGCGAGAATGATTCCGAGGGACAAGTAGACTGTTATCGAGGTAAAGTAGTAGACAAGCACCCGTGCTTGCATGAGATTGTGTGGATGCGAGGGATCTTTCTTTCCCTCCCCTCTTCTTGTTGGTAACAAGTAATATCCAACACGCCCCGCCTGACGATGCGGAAGAGAGCACTTCCATCCATCGCGGGCATTCCAATACTGAATTAGAAAACCACTAAACTCATCTTCTAACCCGCGATGCCAAAATGAACCAGTCAATTCAGGGTCACGCCAACCTGATTCTTGATTTGTTTCCGTAAATAAAATAGCCAAGCTAATGATGGTGATGGTGATATGATGATGATGAATCAATCTCTTGCGGTCGCAAAATGCTACGAGACCCTGTCATGGTAATTTTCCAAACGTGACCTCCAAAACAAAGATTATACATTAGAGGTCGTTACACCGGATATTTCCTCAGCCACTAGACTTGTGATCAACTTACTTTTGTACTATCTTCCCCCCAGGAAGAGCACACTACTACACTACACTACTGTACATAGTAGAGATAAATTAATTGGAACCATCTCCGATTCAGATCGCGACCACGTTACCGGGATTGTATGGGCTGACCCGCTCCGTCCTCGGTTCTGGCTGGGCTAGTGACATGGTACTGGAAACCAATTTCCATCCATTCCCATGGCTTCCTGCTTCTGGGTCCCCCCAGTTGTCGTCTGCTCTGCTTTTGCTTCTCTGGGATTAAAGCCAATCCAGCAAGACGAGAAACGGGGCAAAAGTGTCCATGCTCCGGTCTTAGCTTGCCCCCCATCGTCCTTTCTCCCTCCTCCTCCTGAAAGATGTGACTTGACTTGACACTACGTATTAGGGATGGAAGTGGGTGGGTGGGTGAGAGGGAAGGAACCGTCTCTCACCGACGTCAGAGCGCGGGAACTGGGTAGGCCGCGCCCTACGCTAGCGGCACAGCTCAAGAAATTCGAAATCCGCTATAGGTCGGAAAAAGGAGGAGGATAGAACACATCACACGCAACATCCACCTCCATCAAGCAGGAGCAGCAGGATGGGGCACACATTCTCCAGTTGACAACACTCAGGCGAGTACCCATCATTGGTACGGAGATACACTAGAGGAGAAAGGACTTGGTGGATGCGAGAGCAGCTGAGAGAGATGATTTGAGTTTGTCCTAGTAGACGGAGAGGCTCGAGACACTATGATTCAAGCTGGTAACCCCCAACTCTTTGCTTTGTCGTTGTTGTTGTTGTTGGTTAGGGCCATGAGCGGCTGAATATACACGCACTACTACTACGACGGTAAAGATATTAGAAGAAAAGAAAATAGCAATTGGTCAGGAAAAGCACTACCGACAATCACGCTTAATCCAACCACCCAGGCCGTTCCTTCCAAGAGGCTCATCTTAGACTTCCAACACCAGATACAAAATGTGTACCAAAATACTACTTACTCCTACGCCCGTCTCCAAGCCGCACAGTCTATACTCTATAGTAACGACGTCAAGGTGGATGCCAGGGAGGTGGCGGCCGCGATGGCCATGACTCCGACTGACGGACGCCCACTTTCTGCAACCGTTCGGCTGGGGCGTTTTTTTCTCTTTCATTGCTGTCCACAATCCTAGCCCCCAGGGCGATGGTCTGTGAGTGTGGCCACTGGAGGATCAATATGATAGGTACAGCTCATCACCTCTCGGGCTTAGCTTAACTTAAAGTTTCTTCCTGGTCCCCTCCAGGAGACAGGGTGGAACACTTCGATTCGATGATAACAGCCTAATAGGCGAGGGTTGCAGGACTGAGCGACAGGGGAAATTTACTAGATTGATGCTGGTGGATGACCACATGCATCGGGCCAAGATCGAGTCACTCGTCGTGCATGCCGACCATCGGAGTTGGCTGCGCGAACCAGTTTAGGTCGGATCCCTGGGACTGAGCTGAATGGGGGAACTGGAGACAATGGCTTCTACTAGGGGAAGGGGGCTGTCGCGTGGTGCACAACTCTGGGTGACAGTTGTAACTGGAGAAAATTATTACTAAGGGACTGGAATTCTCGAATGAGCTCAATGGATGGAGTAGTGGGAGAAAAAAGGGACCAATTCCCATTGGCTACAGACCAACAACCATCCTCTCGTCATACCGGATTGAGCAGGTGCAAGAACAGGTCCCCATTGCTAAAATGCCCCAATAGGGAGGGGCGGCTGAGCGAAAAGAAATCAAAAAGAAAAAGTGAAAAAGGAAAAAGAAGAAGAGAAAAAAAAAAAGGCGGCGACGGGAACGTGGGTCGGAAAACCCACACGGTTTTTTGGCACGAGGCTGGCCATGCGGGCGACAAGAGGAGCCTTTTCTTGAAAATCCTCAGAAAGGTTCGAAAATCTCCAAAACGCTCAAAAGTTCTGGCCCGTGGATCGATTCAATGGAGGAACCGCAAAAGAAACATAGTTGGGCCAACACCTTTCACCCATCCGCGCGCGCGACCCCCCTTGAACTACTAGCACTAGCAGTGATCTAGGGTGGATTCATCGCGGTTGGGGGAATCAATAGTAGTCCGTGGCTCCGTCTCAATCGGGATAAGTCTGGGTGACAGCGCCAGGCCAAGCTTCCCACTTTCGCCTCCCCAATTCTTCAGACTTGAGACACAAATTGGACTTTTACGCAAAATGGCAAGTCGACAGGCGAAACTATGGGATGGAAACATGGTACTGGGACCTACCAAGTGTCCCAGTACGAGGGTGTGGATTAGCCACTAAGGTTATGAGGCGTCTACTTTAAATGACCAACCGCATTAAGAGGCAATCAAATGTGAGCTTAGTCGTAAGTAGTAATAGTAGTACTACCTACTGTATATGCTGTGGGTTGGAGAAGAACTCGGCCTGCAATTCGAAGGTGTATACGCAAACATTCATTGCTTACTGCCAATTAGTAGTATGTATGGTGTTGGGGATGAAATTGCAAGCTGTGAGGGGGTTATTACAAATCTCCCGGTCGCAGTTCTCACACGAGTCTCCAATTTACAACCTACAGTATACCTAAGTGGTAGTAGTAGTATCTTGCCTCTTTTCTTTTTTAATTATACTTACTCCATCCGGGGTTCCTATTTGAGGGAAAAGAGGGAGGAGGAG